GTGAAGAAGCTGTGAGAGAACTGTCAGAAATAGAGGAACTCTGCACATACACTTTTTGCCGGCTTGGAATTATTCTTCTTTTCATCCTACTTCCTGTCAGAAATAGCGGAGCTCACTGCAGGGACACTTTTGCCGGCTGATCGGGAAATGTTCGATTCGCGCACCCGAAGTAGGCAAAATTTCGGTTTCGCCGCGAATCGAATATTTCCTGAAATTCGACTCGAATTCCGGTTCGCCTGTCCACAACAATACCGTATTCATGCTCCCCAGACTACTGAAACCAATACTTTGACTGTTGTGATGGCTATACTAGTCCTATCTTGTTTGGCAATCCTACTGGGTATTTAGAAGATACTTTCAGCTTGCTATGGAAGTCCTGCCTGACTGCCAGCCTGTTCAACGAGAATGTCTTGTTGGTCAATAAGCCAATCACAATGTAGAAAAGGTAACACAGTGACATTGGTCAATTGGGCTTTTTCCCCAAATCAAGGCTGTAAAGGAAAAATGAAATCTCACAAGGTACAGATATGTAATAAATTGGTTAAGACACTTTGTGGTGTCTGCTATTAGGCTATAAGTTAATTTTTAGATAAGCAGAGAGCAGCACATATTTTTATTAAGACTGCTGGATCATTCTGCTAGTTTGCGTTTGGTGTCATAAAGTGTTAACTAGTTGGATCTAAGACTTGACAGTTTGTTCCCTGCTTGTGTTTGCACTTTGCTTATTTCCTGCCCTGTGGCTATGCTTTGTCCTGCTTTTTCCTACATGTTTTGCCTTTCTCTACCTAATTTACTATTTTGTCTTCATATTGCTGCTCTTGTGTTGTATGTGTTTTGCTGTTGCCTGCAATTTTGTCAATTAAAGTGATTCAAAAGGAATTTAAAAAAAAACAACAATTACTCTTCTTTTTGGGTCCTTCGACGGGGGTCCTGGCTCCTCCCCTCTGCCGATTGCCCCCAGTAGCAAGCTTCTTGCTATGGGGGCACTCAAGCAGGCTTGCTCCAGAGCCGTGCTCCCATGAATGTACATTGTCCATTCACACACAGTGTGCGGCTCAGCTTCGACCCCCACTCTGTCCACATTGGCTCACTGGTTGTGATTGACAGCAGCAGGAGCCAATGGCCCTCACTGCTGCATGAGCCAATGAAGAGAGAGAGACCCTGGAGATCTGAGGCTCTATTGCACAACACTGGATCAACATGGAGCTCAGGTAAATATAAGAGGGCCTGGGGGGGGGAACTGAACCCAGAAGGTTTTTTACCTTAATGCATAGAATGCATTAAAGGAGAAGTACAGCCAAAGCTCTTTTGGCTGTACGTCTCCTGTAGATCACAGGAGTGCAGTTTCTTCTGCACTCCTATGACCTGTTTTCAGCTAACAGTGGGCTGAAGCCCACTGTCAGCTGACGTCACTTAGCCGGTCCAGGCTGGGGAAAGATCCCGACTTTAAAGTCGGGATCCACCCCACAGTCTGTAGCAGCACTTGGCTCAGCTTCCCAGCAGCTCCCTCCCCTTCCACAGCCCAGCACTCCAATGAGCATGGGGGGCAGAACAGACAGCGGTGACTGACAGTCACCACTCTCTGCTAAGAGTGGCTGTGAGAGCTCAGCGGTTAGTGGTCATGTGATCGTCGTGTTCTCACCCTTAGAGCCAGCGGGGGACAGAGGCAGCATCAGACCAAAGCTGCATCCACCTAGGTAAGTATAATGTGGGGGAAAAAAACAAAACAAAGTCATACTTCTCTTTTAAGGTAAAAAAAAATCATTGAGCCTTTAGAACCACTCTAACTTCTACCTGCACCTCCACCTTGCCCCTTTGTTTCTAGTCCTAGTAACCCCTGAGCACTATACTGCACTCATGTCCGCCATGCTCTCTATCCTCAGTCTGCGTGGCTCTGTGACATGAGTTTCACATTAGCTTTGTACACTTTTAGTGGCATTTGTGCGATGCTTCAGTTTATGGTGTTGCTTTTCCACGTACAGTACTCTTTTCCACATTTAACTTCCTTTCAGTTTCTGGCAAATATTTATCCAGATAAAAGAAGATATGTTGGTTGTGCTCTAAGTACAGGGGGCATCTGTTATCTATCCTTATGAGAAAGAGGGGGCTACTACAAGTCTAAAGCTCACAACACTCATTACAACCTGGCTGTAGCATCTCCTTTAGATTCACCAAAAAGTATGTAGTGGAAGGATCTGGCTGACTAGATAAAAAAAATTGATTGGATAGTTAAAATGTATTTTACCTTTTGCGGCCATATAGGGATACTACATACATTATATTTGATACATGTCCCCATTCACATAACATAACTTAAACAAAAAAAACTTAAAAAAATTGCAGCTTACTTTTAGGTGCTGTATTCTGGACCCTCCTGCAAGGAAAAATGCTAGGTAGTTCTTGTTGTTTGAGGGGGATGGGGCAGTTGTGTTTGCCATAATAAACCCTGCCTGTGCTGTGTAGGCAGATCTTCATTATCAATTATATCTAGAGTTGAACACAGGTTTAAACATGTAGAGACTGGGCTTCTTGCATTGTATTGTATACTAATGAGGACAGACTTGGGACAGGCTTACTCTAACATTGTTCAAAAAAAAATCTTGCAGTCAGCCTAGACACCTCCTCATGAGAAACATCTAAAAGGTAAGGTATTTTTTAAAACGTATTTAGCCTTTAAGATAGGTTTTCATATTACAAGGTTTTGATAAATCTAAAGTTGACTGAACAAAGATTGTACAGTTAGTGTGTAATGTACTGTATATGGTGATCTTAAGTGTACAGGTGAAACTCGAAAAATTTGAATATCATGCAAAAGTTCATTTATTTCAGTAATGCAACTTAAAAGGTGAAACTAATATATGAGATAGACTCATTACATGCAAAGCAAGATAGTTCAAGCTGTGATTTCTCATAATCGTGATGATTATGGCTTACAGCTCATGAAAACCCCAAATCCACAATCTCAGAAAATGAGAATATTGTGAAAAGGTACAATATTCTAGTCTCAAAGTGTCCCATTCTAATCAGCTAATTACGCCATAACACCTACAAAGGGTTCCTGAGCCTTTAAATGGTCTCTCAGTCTGGTTCAGTGGGAATCCCAATCATGGGAAAGACTGCTGACCTGACAGTTGTGCAAAAAACCATCATTGACACCCTCCATAAGGAGGGAAAGCCTCAAAAGGTAATTGCAAAAGAAGTTGGATGTTCCCAAAGTACTGTATCAAAGCACATCAATAGAAAGTTATGTGGAAAGGAAAAGTGTGGAAGAAAAAGGTGCACAAGCAGCAGGGATGACCGCAGCCTGGAGAGGATTGTCAGGAAAAGGTATTTTTCGAGTTTCACCTGTATATTAATAGCATGACACCTTCCTAGATCAGTGCATGTATTATCCCTTACACTCTCTTTTCACTCCTTACGTAATTTCAATAATTTGTGTTCCTTTTAAAAGCAGGCATACTAACATTATATGATGCAGCATAGATCATTAAAATGGCATATGTGTATAAATAATTTTGGATAAAATATAAACATTGTATAGGGCAGTGATGGCGAACCTTTTTGAGCCCGAGTGCCCAAACTGCAACCCAAAACCAACTTATTTCTTTCAAAGTGCCAACACTGCAATGAAACCTGAATATCGAGCTTTTGGTTTAGAAAAAACAACTCGTACAGTAGTGCAAACTAATTAACAGTACAGGGATGACCAGAGACTGCGGACAGTACAGGGATGACCAGAGACTGCGGACACGGTACAGGGATGACCAGAGACTGCGGACACGGTACAGGGATGACCAGAGACTGCGGACACGGTACAGGGATGACCAGAGACTGCGGACACGGTACAGGGATGACCAGAGACTGCGGACACGGTACAGGGATGACCAGAGACTGCGGACACGGTACAGGGATGACCAGAGACTGCGGACACGGTACAGGGATGACCAGAGACTGCGGACACGGTACAGGAGATGACCAGAGACTGCGGACACGGTACAGGAGATGACCAGAGACTGCGGACACGGTACAGGAGATGACCAGAGACTGCGGACACGGTACAGGAGATGACCAGAGACTGCGGACACGGTACAGGGATGACCAGAGACTACACGGTACAGGGATGACCAGAGACTGCGGACACGGTACACAGGGATGACCAGAGACTGCGGACACGGTACAGGAGATGACCAGAGACTGCGGACACGGTACAGGGATGACCAGAGACTGCAGACACGGTACAGGGATGACCAGAGACTGCGGACACAGTACAGGGATGACCAGAGACTGCGGACACAGTACAGGAGATGACCGGAGACTGCGGACACAGTACAGGGATGACCAGAGACTGCAGACACAGTACAGGGATGACCAGAGACTGCGGACACAGTACAGGGGATGACCAGAGACTGCGGACACAGTACAGGGATGACCGGAGACTGCGGACACAGTACAGGAGATGACCGGAGACTGCGGACACAGTACAGGGATGACCGGAGACTGCGGACACAGTACAGGGATGACCGGAGACTGCGGACACAGTACAGGGATGACCGGAGACTGCGGACACAGTACAGGGATGACCGGAGACTGCGGACACAGTACAGGGATGACCGGACACTGCGGACACAGTACAGGGATGACCAGAGACTGCGGACACAGTACAGGGATGACCGGAGACTGCGGACACAGTACAGGAGATGACCAGAGACTGCGGACACAGTACAGGAGATGACCAGAGACTGCGGACACAGTACAGGGATGACCAGAGACTGCGGACACAGTACAGGGATGACCAGAGACTGCGGACACAGTACAGGAGATGACCAGAGACTGCGGACACAGTACAGGAGATGACCAGAGACTGCGGACACAGTACAGGAGATGACCAGAGACTGCGGACACAGTACAGGAGATGACCAGAGACTGCAGACACAGTACAGGAGATGACCAGAGACTGCGGACAGTACAGGGGATGACCAGAGACTGCGGACAGTACAGGGATGACCAGAGACTGCGGACACAGTACAGGGATGACCAGAGACTGCGGACAGTACAGGGATGACCAGAGACTTCGGACAGTACAGGAGATGACCAGAGACTGCGGACAGTACAGATGACTGCTGACCTTTGGGGAGGGAGGGGGAGCGGGTACCTGAGTTTTTTTTTTTATCTTACCTGTTCCTTTATCCAGCTGCGCGCTGTCTTCCCGGCTTCTGTAGTGTGGGCGCTCGTCGGACAGCCGGATGCCCAGTGCGCATGCGCGAGAAGCGCTGCGCTTTGTGATTGGTCCGGCGGCTTCTGGGATCTGTCATGTGTCCCAGGTACCGCCTTACCCTTCACAAAGAGCACTGCTTCTTGCGCATGCGCACTTGGGACCCGGCTGTCACGCACACTACAGAAGCCGGGAAGACAGCGCGCCGCTGGATAGAGGGACAGGTACGGTCCCACTGCAGAGCTGAGCGGCCGGCCCGGTATTCTGACACGGCGGCGGTGGAAATACCGAACCGGTCGCTCTATATTCGCTCCATAAGACGCACTGACATTTTCCCCCCTTTTTTGGGGGAAAAAAAGTGCGTCTTATGGAGCGAAAAAATACGGTATTCTCCTGGCGTGCCCACAGATAAGGCTCGGCGTGCCGGCTGTGGCACGCGTGCCACAAGTTCGCCATCACTGGTATAGGGTAACAAAAAGCTTAAAACAATTATAAATTGCATCAATATCCTGAACTAACGAACACCTCACATTTCTAGATGGCATTTTCTCTGTGTAAACAGCAAAAATAATTTACTTGCAAATTCAAATATCTTTAAAAATTCACTGTTATACTTCACAACTGGCATAGCTGCAACATTATCTTTGCTTCTAATTGTAAAATTGTTACACCAAATATTTTTTTTCCTCCCTGACCTTTATTGACCATATGGGCAATCAAGTCCCCTAGACATAACTTCCTATAAGCTCTTGGTGAGCGGGTGTCTGCCTACAACTACAGACGTTAGATGGTCACCAAACCTGTCAGTAAACAGTCAGATCAGGTAACTGTCATGTCCCGTGCATGGCCTGCTTAAAGTGGAACTACAGCCAAAAAAATTAAAAAGGTGCTAACAAGTGGGCTTTTATAGCAGAAAAGACTCTATGGGGTTTATTTACTAAAGCTGGAGAGTGCAAAATCAGGCTCACTTCTGCACAGAAACCAATCCGCTTCCAGGTTTTATTGCCAAAAGCTCAATTGAACAAGCTGACGTTAGAAGCTAATTGGTTTCTGTGCAGAAGTGACTCTGATTTTGAACGCTCCAGCTGTAATAAATAAACCCCTATGTGCATCTTTTGCATTAAAAGGTCCTTTTCTGCCTGCCAGCATCCCTTCTCCTAAATGCACACTGAACTCAGCATGAGCAGCTCAGTGTACATTCTTGGCATGCCCTGGTGCTGGGATGAAATAGCTCAATGCTCAACCCATGCTGGCCAATCAAGATGGCCACAGATGCCGAACCCAGATGAAGATCGGGCAAAGATATCAGTGCCATCAAGTGAGCCTGAACAACCCGCATCACTGAAGGGGAGGTAAGCCTTGTAAACTTTAGCTTCCCTTTAAGTGTTTTGTAGCAGTTTGGCAAGTCTATTAACAAGCAGGGGCATCCCTAGGGTTGGTGTCACCCGGTACGAGAACACTTGGTGACACCACCTCCGACGATCCCCGCAGGATGGATTGGATCTGCGGATTGAGCATAATGGATCGGAGTCCAATCCATTATGCTCCCCAATCCGCAGATCTGAACCATCCTGCGGGGGGATCGTCAGCATGCAACCTATATGGGGTGACACCGGACCCGCTCCATGAAAAGGTAAGTTGTAAAGCAAGCCGACGATCCCCGCAGGATGGATCAGATCTGCGGATTGGGAAGCATAATGGATCGGACTCCGATCCTTTATGCTCAATCCGCAGATCCACAGAACATATATTGTACTACTGGATCTTAAACTTTGCATGACTGAACACTCTGCTCACACCCTGCTCACATGATACCAGTTTTCAGTTCAAGCAGTTATTGCTCTATTACATCCTGAAATATATCCACAACTGCATCTCTAGTTTGATAAGATAGAAGTATTTTTTGTGTGTCTCCTTGCATTGTGGATAACATTTCCCATTGGGAGTATTTCCTTCTCCATTGTAGTCCTTTTTCTTTTGATTTCGTTTTACAGAGGTTTTTATTTCTTTACCTTTTTCAGGAACCTGTAGAAGCTTACTTTCTACTTGTTTATTAAGCAGGTGGTATGTCACATTCCCTAGTTTGATAAAATAGAAGTATGTATTCTCATGTCTTATGTTGGCCATACAAAGCTCATATTTTGTCCAATTCTTGCTGAATTGGCCACAATTTGATCTGTGGGTGGCCCTTTATGTTCAATAAACTTTGACTGAAAAAAATAGAGGCGATTTTGGCTAAAAGTGACTGCAGCCAATCAAATGCAGTCACTGTTTAGGTATTCAGACAGCTGCGGTCTGTCTGAATATATTAGCTGGTGGGGGAGATTCCTCTCTCCACCTAATAGCTGGTAGAATCTATTAGTTTTCTCTTGCTCAGCCTGCCGGCTGTTATTTGCTCCTTAGGGAAATAGCTCTTCCTCTAAAGCAAATTGTTGTTTGCACAAAATAAGTTATACAAACCTTTTAGCATCTAATAGGCTATTAAAAACATCAAATGGCAGGTATGGGAAAATGATATACCCTTAGGGAGAACAGAAATGAAATACCCGACAGGTTAATAACATTATTAACATCAACACCATCTATTTTGTGTGTGTCTCCTTGCATTGTTGATAACATTTCCCTTTGGGAGTGCTTCCTTCTTCTCCATTGCAGTCTTTTTCTTTTGATTACGTTTTATAGAGGTTTTATTTCTTTACTTTTTTTTGGGAACCTGTAGAAGCTTAATTTCTTCCTATTTTTTAAGCAGGTGGTATGTCGCATTCTCTCGAGAAAATATAAAATTCACAGATCCCCAGAAGTTAGACAGCCTCTCACATCCCCCACATTAGAGACCTTCATCTGTACATACAATGTGTCCAGAGAGAGAATATTTGTATGTTTCTTTTGTTTCTTATGAAGAGACCACTGTTCAAAGGCAAACTATAGTACCCCTTTGGCACACTGGGGTTTATTTACTAAAGCTGGTTCACTCAGAATCTCATGTTTTTCTACTAAAGCTTAATTGAACAAGCTGAGGTTAGAAACTGATTGGCTACCATGCACAGGTGCACGAGCTTCTGAGTGAACCAGCTTTAGTAAATCTCCCCCAATGTCTCCTTAATGGAACACTGTCTTTAGGTGGTAAGTTGAGTAACTTGTAGTTACTCAACTTGCCACCTAAAGACAGTGTTCCAGGTATATATTAAAATGGAAACAAGAACCTTCAGATAAGATTTACACCTGACCAATAGGACCAAATTCACTACTACAAGTACAAAAGTGATCAGCACAAATACCAGGAATGCAGACTCAAAATTTGCACATGCTGGTACAGGACACCACAGATACTTCATCACATGTTCCCAACCAGAGGCGGACTGACCCTTTGGAAACTCGGGCACTGCCCGACGGCCCGGGGTCAGTAGGGGGCCCCATGAGATGCCCCTGGTACCTTTTTCATAGGCTTTTTTGAGTTTGGGCAAGGACACAGGGGCCCCATGATCCCCTATTGCCCGGGGGCCCCATGAGTTGTCAGTCCGCCCCTGTTCCCAACAACTCTGAACATATGCTGGAAGTATGACTCAACACTTGGAGACATCCTCCATAATTTTTGGTAATGTCACGTCATTAAACCGTTGTGGACAGAGGTAAGGTGCATAACTCAAACATGTACATACTTCTCCATACTAAATTACCCTGCCTTATTCCTCGTACATCACAATGTACAGAAAAAAATTAGCACTTCCTCACTTTCTGAACGCTGACAAGAGCTGAATCCTGGAGCTCTAGAAACAGCCCCACCCTCCACTGTGTGGATGGCAAAAATAAATGAAATCAAACATATGGATGATGTCACCTCTTCAAGTAGAGACACACATGACAAGTTTTGGCAGACATGGTTCTACTGAACAAAAACTTCTATGCTACCCTCTAGTCATGGGCGGACTGGCCGTTTGGAAACTCGGGCACTGCCCGAGAGCCCGTGGTCAGTAGGGGGCCCCATGAGATGCCCCTGGTACCTTTTTCATAGGCTTTTTTGAGTTTGGGCAAGGACACAGGGGCCCCATGATCCCCTATTGCCCAGGGACCCCGTGAGTTGTCAGACGGCCCCTGCCTCTAGTATAAATTGCTCCTCCTCTGAGACACCCTGCAACCCTGTGAGGTTTCACCTTAAGAACTGCTGCATACAAGGGGTGAAGTCTGAATGGGGGTAAGTTACCTTGCTAGAAAATCAGCATCCATTTTTAATATAGGTTTTAAAAACTTTTCTATGTAAAATCATTTTTAAAATAAGTTTCTCTTTGCAGTATTAGCTAGCTGATTACATTCTTTGGAACATGTAGTCCGAGATACTGGTTGACTGTCCCTACCTACAATGTTTCTTCTCTCTACGATTTATTTCAACTTCTGATCTTTTTTTTAATCTCCCTGATGCAATTCTCCTGGTTCTCATAATGGATTAAGCAGAATATCCTCTTACATCAAGACTTCTATAATATCTGTTTATTCCTCGTAGAGGATATCAGAAGAACAATTTCTTCTAGCTCCTATTTGCCAACTAGTATAGCTTTAATTATATGAGAGAGATGTCCACTGGCGGCTCTGAGGGTGGAGTTGCCAGCACAGGATTTTCAAGTGTCCTTATCCCCCATCAAAGTGATATCCAAAAAATGAATGATAAAACCTTCTTTTGTCCTATTCAGCCATGCAGATAGAAACTCAGCTACCGCAAGAAAAAAAAAAAACAGATTTGGCCTTTCTTCCCCCCAGTTGGGACAGTGGAAAAAGCTTTTAGTGTGATCCTAAACATTGGCTACTTGAAAAGGTAGTAAACTCCTGAATTAACAAAAAATGTGAGCCCCCGGTCAGTTTAAGCCATAGTGTGCTAGTATACACAGAATAGGCATACAAGCACATTATGACAGGCTTACCTGAAAACAAAGCAGTCCAGCGATGCGCTGTCAGCACTGTCGGTGCTTCCATCTTCACCCGGTCTTCCTTCCGGTGTCATGTTCTCCGGCTGTTTGAATGGCCATGCTAACATCACTACTGTGCGGCACAGTGGCTTAGTGGTTAGCACGTCTGCCTTGCAGTAAATGGGTCATGGGTTAGATTCCTGATCATAGCACCTCCTGCATGGAGTTTGCATGT